ATTTCTAGCTTTGAATCTCAATTAAGTGTATTTGAGACAAGAACGCAATGTAATTATCATCAACACATACAACTTACAGCTTAATGCCATCTCAGAAGCAGATTTTACATCACATCAGAGGCAAAGATTGATAACAAGCCTCATGACATTTAGGCAACACGTACAACTAAGTGCTAAGATAATATCTTGTAGAAAAACCTACATAATGTCAAAAAAATCGGCATAATGTCACTTTTCAAGATACGTGATACCCGTGCCGGTTTATGTCGCACAGTTGCAGAGTGACCTCATCCACTTTGTTTAGGCTCTCGTTGATACTCTAAACATAACCAAGGTTTTTAATCAGTCGCCGTGACAAGCCGCTCTGTTAACTCCCTCACTAGAACATCTCAGATAGACTTAGCACATGAGTAGTAGACTATTCTAGTTTGTAAAACATTCAGTTTACTACACGTTTTCACCTCTTCGCCCCAACAGCAACGATGATCAGTCAAAGAGATTGATGTTGCTTCCAACATTAGCTATTTTCTAGTTCTAAATTCAGTACTGTCACAGAACGGTTCTGGAACTGCTCAAGACTGAATGCGTAAAGTGGAAGATCTCTGGAGCGGTTATGAACAGTCCGTGAACTATCATAATTTTGCCAAAACCCGAACGGCCTAAACCCAGGACTACGGCAACATTATTTTGTTTGTTGCTACACGTGGCCCTGGGTCTTTAGGAAGTTGATTTTATGGATAAAAAATATCTTGCCTAAAATGCTCAACAAACTGTTTGTCAGTATAGGACGGAACAGTTTCCTCAAATAAATTATTTTTGCTCACATCTTTGAGAAGCTCTGAAAAAAATAAGTTGGGAGTAACTGCTTCAAGTTCATCATCACACTCGGTCGACGATCATGATGACGAATCCCATATGTTCACTTTCTTTTAATTTTAAATAAAAAACACTTCTCAAACCGCAAAAAGTAAACAGCGTTTAAAGCAAAACACGTCAAATAATTTTAATGACATTAGCAGAAGGAATACGCATGCGTGAAAAATCGGTTAAAAAATGGTCCCGTCAGTAAAGCAAGAACTGCTTGAACAATTCTCGAATCATCCTAGAACTGAACCAGGATATAACTCGAACACCAAATTTCAGTTCTAAAACGGCCCTAAAGTAATCCAACGGAGACCCGACACGTCGGTTTCTTCTGCGCATGTTCCTGATGGTTCTAGAACAGTAATGATAAAAACCCGAAGAAACCTATTGTTGTTGCTGCACGTTAGTGGCTTTCTTTCCGCCATATTATATTCACTCCATAGATTCGTACGTCATATACAACAACATTTGGTATGCAGCCACTCCGAGTACCAAACGAATTTCTGCAGGTGAGTTAAAAAGAAAACTGCCATCGTTCTATTATTTCTGATACAGAAGTATAAATACGGTGAAGGTCAATTCAGTTATCAAATAGAGAGACTCACTGAAGCTTGTCGAGTTTTAATGAGTTGGCCGAACCTTACGAAGAACTTGTCCGTTTATATAAGTGTGGTAAAGTTACCAAATGCATCACTTAGATCTAGGAAATACTCTATAGAAACATCCAACATAGCCCATCTTGGACTAATGTGTTTATTTATTTGAGTTGCTTACTCTTTAGTATGATGCGGTTCTGAAACGCTTCCTTGACCCACAAACTCCAACCACTTCCTCATCGACGAGCGGCTACTTATCAAACACTTAATGTATCTCATCCTATGCTCCTAGAAGCATTGGAGGGTCATGGAGTTAGGGGTGCTGTGTTAAGTGTATTGAGAGATTATTTAATGCATAGGGTTCAGTGTGTCAGGATTGCGGAAGTTCTAAGTGAACCAAAGACGGTTCAGCATGGAGTTCCACAGGGTACAGTACTTGGACCGATTCTTTTTAATATATATGTAAATTACCTCTGCAGTCTTGCAGTTGATGGCGATGTAATTGCCTATGCTGATGACACCGTGGTGGTGTTTCATGGAGAGACATGGGAATCAACGGGTGAAAAATTGAAGACTGATTTTGCAAAAATTAGAAAACTTCTGGACGCACTTAAATTAACTCTGAATATAAAAAAAACTCATTACATTGCCTTCTCTATAACCATGGCTAATAGACCAGCATTTAATTAAATTAAGCTTGATAATATTGATGACCCTTGGAAAGAAGTTAATGAAATTCAATATTTAGGGATTGTTCTTGATAAGCACTTGAAGTGGGACCAACATGTGCTGTATTTGAACAAAAAAAATAAATTTTTAATCCATAAATTCTACGCTCTTCATAAAATACTGAACATTAAACTACTATTAATGACTTACAAAGCACCTGTGGTGCCCCTTTTGGTATATGGCATAATTGTGAGGGGTGGGATGTACGGTTCAAATCTTGGGCAGTTAAAAGTGGTGCAGAACCATATTGTAAGGATTATTCTAAAAAAACCAAGACTATATCCCACTATGCAACTTTACTCTCAAGAAATAAATAATATTAAAATCTTATACACCTTGGGAAAAACCATTATTATACATTATGATGAGGAAGAGAGATGGAAATATACAAAAGTATGTAGGTGCGTGAAAGACACTCGATTGTAGGATCCTATCTGGCAGCGTCGGAGTGTGACGGACAACGGGGTAAAGTAGAAGAGTGATAAAAGAGAGAGATGGCAGAACGGGCGCTGGCGCCTACCGCTTAGACGGATGCGCTCAACAAATGCGATTTGTTTCTCCCATTCGCAGAGTTGCCGATACCAATATGTCATATTTCTAAGAAATCTAAGTCTACCCAAATTTCGGGAAAAATAGCTGCGGATTAAACATAAGAGTATTTCAAAAATGAAAAAAGTTCAAACTATTAAAATTGTATTAATGTTTCATGGTTCAAATCATATTTTTCATGTTTGTATATAGTTGTATAAATGATTTTGTAATCCCTATTCTTGTTGCCAGTAGAGATACAACAGTATTGAGAGAAATCATCGACCGCTAGATAGGGCTACAACTACCATATGACTATCAAATAGTAGTGATAAACAGGGTCTGTTTATAGCACAGTTGCCTGGTGTGACGAATTTGCGCCATAGGGGCGATTTGACAACTTTGAAGGACAACTATAACGGTTACTATGGTGCCCGGTATTCGGGAATCTGGCAATACCTGATGATTCCTAACGTTTATTACGCCAGATTGTTTGCTGACTTGCGCAGTACAAGATAACAATCAACGTGACTGAGCACCTGGTAACCCTGGTTTAAGGTTTTATATTTAAAGAGCTTGGGGCAGTTAGGTATCTAGGTCACATTTTTTAATGTATTTCGAGAAATCCGTAATGTTGAGTAAATGCTAGATCACGTTTCTTGCTTAGTTTGCTGAAAATTCTACAATAGACGTACATTTTGAGAAACAGAGATTTGGTGAGGACAAAATCGTAAAAATATAACGCATTTTCGTAAAATAATTTCTTTGTTGACCCATTGAACGAGTATAGTGTCCCGCTCCGCTATGAATATTCGAAACACTATACTCCAGCAGCATTCAGCTTCAATGTTATCTTTATGAAGTTCTAACGTCTAGGCCATGCTGATTAAAAGCTTGAATGAATCAACACTTAACTCTAAATTCCCCACAATTCGGGAAGCTCTACTCAAATTGGCAACACAGCGTATCTGCCTATTATTCTCATTCGTGATACAGGTCTGCGGTTAACGGTAGGAAATATGTACGAATAGCGATGAAAGTAGACGAGCCGATGCGCTGTTGCCAAGAAATGATTTCCCATGTATAACAATGGTTTTTCCTAAGGTGTATATCCTTGCAGTATGTAGTTTTGTACATGCAAATAAGAAATTAAATACAAATTATGTGTCTCACAATTATATGACCCGAGCAAACCCCACTCATAACCTGAACGTCCCGCAGGCCAGGCGAGATTTAAATTTGCGTTTTGTGATATATCTTGCACCTAAATTTTACAATTTGATTCCTGCTAATATCAGGAATATTGAAAATAATAAAAAATTTAATGTTTCGTTTAAAATATTCTGTTGGGAAAATCGTGAACAATGTATGCGTTTAAGTTGCTTTGTGGTAGATTGATCTGCGTATTTGTTTCTTTTCTTTCTTTTTGATATAATTGTGATACTTTTTTTCTGTTATCTTAAGTTAAATCTGTGACTTACAACAAAAATATGAAATTTTCTTTCATTTTGTCTATACCGTGTTTCATGTTTTGTTGGTGTTGTTGAGTGATTTTATACAAAAATATATATTGCACGATATTTATCAATTAATTACTGTTTTTGCGCATACAAGTTTTTAAACTTAGGCGCTCATATATTATAGAGAAACCTTGTTTTTGTTTTGTTAATGTATAGATATATATTATTTTTCTCGTGGTAAATTTGGGTTTTGCTGAATAAACGTGGTTAGAGTTCAACAACAAAGTAGTTAGTTCCATTACTGAAAGCACTTGTAGATTTCCAGGAATTTGATTTCGATTTCGTGCATTTAAACTATAAAAACTATACTTATTTAATCACTCTTTCACCGTAGCTTCTTGAACTTATCGTGTCTTCCCCGTATATCCAGAGCAACCCATCATCAATTCCAATGATGAGAGCACCATGACTCACTGCGTCGTCAGATGTTCGTTCATGCTCGTAGGGCGTTGTGCTTATTAAACCAAGAAGGTTTGCTCTATGGCTGTACCGAACCATAAAAATCCCAAGTTGAATCATGGGGACGGTTTCAGTGGTTGCGTACGTTACACGTATGGGAGTGTTATCGCTCCGTTCCAATATATTCACATCTATTTCTATTTACTGTTTACTTTTCTTATCGTTTGTAAACGTACATACAGTATTTTAGTCTTTTATCAGGAACCTGAAATATATAGTTAGGTTGGTACCTGTGTAACTGCATTCAGTGTCAATTATGATAATGCAGACTTCAAATTGTTAAAGCTACAATTAGTAGCTAGTCCGGAATGTTAACGAATCCAAACATGAGAAGAGAACCAAAACTCCTCCACTGGATTCTTTTTCACATACTTATGATCTGCCAATTCTCAAACCACCTGAAAATTATGAAATTGGGAAGGATGATGCCGGAGGTGAACAAGAAGAGGAAGCAGTCGTTAGGTCTTGGACTTCCCGCGACCCACATTTCGAGGCAGAAGGTTTGAGTGAGCCCCACATACCTACATACTAAGTCAGAGACAATTGAACCTCATAAGAGATATTCACTTGTAGATAGAGGCAGACCTTCTTGGATCAAGACTGAAGCAATGGCATCTACTCCAACCAGGAGTCGATATCACAGAACACATTACCCTGCCATTGATGGAATTTTAGAGGGGAAAGAAAAACCACCCTGAAAACTGTGAGGCTGTAAGTGATGAGCATGGTGGAAGATTTCACCAAGATATATCTGAAATAGGATGCATTTATTAGAGTCGTTGGGACGAGTCAATGCTCCCCGCTACTGCTGGACTCTTTCTTCCAAGAGATACTCCTGATTCGGCGTACAAAAGGTAGTCGAAAAGGAAACGTTAATACGGATAGACTTATAATATTATGATATTATTACTTTATTGGAAAATTTATACAACTATAGCCGGCATTACAGGAAGTCAGTAACTTCTGTCGTGGATGTTGAGTATCTGATGTCTGAATAAATGCAAAATAGAAGTTGCAAATTTTATCCATGAATCTGGACATCAAGACTTGTTCAAACAAGTTTTCTTTCCAAGATTTTTGAGCTAGTAGTCGTCAAGCTCTCCTTGGATCTTTCGTGGTAGTCATTGCACTCAACCTCTTCGTCGCTGATGAGTACAAACTTATATATTTTTTTAATGGAGCAGGTACAATGTTATACCATCCCATGAATGAAATTCACATCTATCTGTCGGAATTGCAACAATAAATTTCATTTGAAATATGAATACAAAAACAGCTACACATTCAAGTATGAAACACTAGATCCCGTGAAACATTTTCAAAATTATACCGCAGAACTCAATTCTTAAAACAAATTCACTGTTGGATTTATTTAATTTTTTGACCATTGAGTAAGCTGAAAAGCTTCTGCATTATGGTGTTGATGAAGCGTTTCTTCGTACTTGGCTGCCACTTCCTTGATCTCTTCGATACCCAGAGTGATATCCAAATCGTGAAGAATGTCAGTATTATGAACAAACCAAGGGGCATTTACCATGTTCCTCAGAACCTTATTTTGGAATCTGAATAATTCGATTTTTGAACTTTTAGAACAGCCCCATATTGGACAACCATAGAGCAACACTGGTTTTAATATCTAATTATAGATCATGATTTAGTTTTAAGGATTTTTCCAATAACCAGTAACATTGCTTGTAGCAGAGGTTTTTTCTACGGTGCTTCCACTTACCCTGTTGTCAAGGGTCATACCTGAATATTTTTCGTTTGACGTATGATGGTGCATTTAACTGTTAACCAAGGAGGACTTGTCGGTCTTCGGTTTGCAAAGCAGACGTAGATCGATTTCATTTCATTCAATTTTAATTTCCACCTCTGTGTCTATTTAACCAATTTATTGTAGTCTGTACTTTACTTACAGAACTTAATAGATCTTTGTCAGTTGCAATCAATGTTGTATCATCTGTCTATCAATCCGTCGCCCCTCACCGTCGTGTACTTTTTGGTTTTAGTTTCTCATACACATAATAACTCACATGATCATCAGCTATTAAGAATATTAAAATACTGTGTGAAAACCGGACAACTGATATGATCTTCGTTCTTCCGCCAAATGGGTTCGCCTGTCTGCTGGCAATGATGATAATTTGTTGTGGTATTACTGACCCACCTACCCATTTAGACTATTGAATGAAAACAAAAGGAGAATAATAAATAGCGGCTCGGCCTCTCGGTCTCGCCGTTTTTACTTTCGTTGGAATCCCGTTCCATGCACTCTTAATTTCATTTACCGTGGCCTACTCGTACAGGGCCGTAGTTTACCATATAATATTATTTCCAATCATTAATAGCTTATTTCAAATCTAGTCCTCATCGCCAAAGTAACAAGAGAGCAAAGAAAAATGGAATAAAGTTTGTAACCGAGAAAATTTCCGAAAATGAGATATTATGCTTTTCTGGATGTTTTTATATAACTTTTTACATTACGGGAAACCATGTCACTGATTTCTGCCTCTATGTCGGTCTGTCTGTCTGTCTGGTAATCATATAACCGCCTATAAATAGAGAAGTGCCGCTCGAATTTTGGTGTAACTTTTACACAATGTTACTACTATGCCAAGGACGAAAAAGTTGTGTAGTCTTTGAAAATCAATCCAGTCCCGATGGAGAAGAAGGTCAAAAATGAAAACAAAAACGCCCATACTTCTTTTTTTGAAGTCTCAGAGGATCCTGATCATTCAAAAAAAGTACAGGTAACAAATCTAGGGATGGGCGTTGTAGGGGGTTGGGAAGGTATATCTTAATTATCTGTTTGGGGGGGTTGAGTAATATTGTTTTAATTTTTTACCGAAGTCCAGGTAACGAAAATTCTGTATACACTTTAGGAAGGTCATTATAAACGATAGCAACATTGTAGCAAAAACTGCGTTTAAAAAGTGTAGACGTATGCTCGGGTATTCTAATAGTCCTTTCTATAAGAGTTCTACAGTGAATATCATTATTAAGTGAAATTTTTTCCCTCAAATTTAGTAAACCAAAGATGAAACGTATACAATTGATTTAAAAACATGTGTAGTATACGATATTACAATAATTTAGTATAGATATGACCAATGCTTCACATAGCTTTTTATGCAACTTCAAATTTAGTAAGTACTTGTTTGCTATAAGGGTACGTAGCCTTAACATAGGTACAAACATATTTAAAAACATCGCTACTCTCAATTCTGCTTCTACGACAATGAGCAATCGGGCGAGTACTGTCCTGTTCATGGAAGATGGTTCTTCATAAAAACATGCATACCAGTAATGTAAGTCTTAAGCTGGTCGCGGTCATTCTTGATGAACTTGAGGAATACAAGAAATGGCATCTGCAGTAGCAGAGCTACGTTAAAAAAATTGCTGGTTTAGTTGAATATGACAATGAAGACATGCCACAATAATTATGAAAATGGAGGAATGGACTGCAGAATACTCAGTAAAAGTCAAGACAATCCGAAAATATTGTTGAAAGCTTTTTTTTTTTTTGGTGAGGGGGGAATGCGTTTATGCACCATACCATAGCCCGAGATACGGCGTGTATGGGACTCCCGGTTGTCTTGAGGAGACCACCTAATACCCACTGAACCCTAACCACCGGGTGGCCCGACTCATCAGCGTCTCGGTAGGCCATGTGTTGTGCGTGACCTGCGGTCTGCTACAACGTCTCCTCATGTGTTTCAGTCTCTGGGAACTCCGGATTGGTTCCCTTTACCTCACACAGTTCTATCGGTGTCGTTAAGCGAGCATCGATATAGGGTTTGCTATGTTCTCTTGAATCTCTTGTTTTCGAAAAATCAAGAGTTTCAAGTCCTCTACTACCTGGTCCTGAGGGGCCCTGGTCCTGGTGGTTCCTGGTCCTGATGGGATCTGGTCGTGGTCGTCCTGGTCCTCCTCGTCCTCTGCTTCCACGCCGTGGGGGGGGGGAGCAACCGAGGGTTCTCCTAGTCTCCTAGTCAAGGTTCCAGTTAGCGGGTGCCAACTGGGACCTTGGTCTAGGGTACCTGGCTCTGCGGTTGCGAGGCCTCTCGTCCGGATCGTAGTCCATGAGGAGTCGTAGCTGCTCGTTCGGGTGGTCCTGAGCTTTCTGGAAGGTCTTCTCCGCTTTTTTCCTCATGTACTCGTGAATGGTGTCCCAATGCAGGTCTCTACGCAAGGTTGAGTTTCTTACGTAGGATGGTGCACTGGTGGCGATCCGGAGTAGCTTCACCTCTAGAGCAGCAAGTCGCTTGCGGTAGCTGGGAGCAGCGTACCCCCAGACCGTATATACCTCCGTATATAAATCATTTTAATGCTCAAACCTCAGTTACGACCTTACCTTAAACGTGTTGTTGACTATTTGTATCACTTCGACACCTCATATATTCACGGTTGTATTTTTGTCATTTTTGGTGGACATTTAGCAGAAAGGTTCTGTTAGTAGTTGAATCGAGTTGTTGAACTTTAAGCTTGCGAACCAATTATAGCGGTACATGCTATCCACCAAACCCATACTATATTGAAGTTGAAAATACCCAGCAGAGAACAATTTTCCTACGAGAATTTATTTATTTCTCTATGGAATATGTCCTGATAATGCCAAAAAATAATATTTCTTATGACAAGTATAGAAAGGCGGTTGAGCTAGTACGGCACTGTAAAGAAGAGCTCTCCAAAATCGGATATGGGTGACTTAAATATCATGTTAATCGCAGTCAGGCTTGATGACCTTCCAAATACAAGACATGTCATCTTTTTGGCGTCCAGACATCAACATCATCGCGGAATAGAAAAATCGGTCTCATTTTCACAAACGTGTAATTGGAAGTATTTGGTGTACCATATTATTGTTATTTAAATAAGTTAAACCATCTTGGTAAAAGTGAGAAGCAACATAGAGCCGCTCGTACTCCAAAGTCGGGTAACTGCGCCTGCTGCTGACGTTTAGGTATGTGGTTTCCTTTATTTTTGGAGAATATCTGCTCCGCGTGAGCCTAAAATAGCTCTTGGGTTGATCAGCAATCAGGGACCTGCAGGATAATCGTAACAATTGTTGGTTAATCTTGACTTTGGTTCTTGTAGAAGCATTGCTATTTTGACATTTGAGGTTTCTGCCATATATGACGCCACGAAGTTGTGTTGATGTACTGTATGAAATGAAAAGTACAGACTAAGAGACGTTTTACACACAAGAGAATTACAACGAAAATTATGGTTATAATTATGCCGAAAATTTTTGCTGTCGTATTACACCTAAAAGAATTCTTATGAACATTTTTTTGGTAAAAATATAAAACCCGTTCTATAGAATATGCGCGAGAATCGGCGCAGAGGGTTATTTCCGTGCATGTCATTATCAAATGTCAACGTCAACAACATAACCTCACTTAACATTTGTGGGTGTGGTCCTGTTCGAGTCGTACGAAGATGCGTTTATTGTTATTGTTTATTCATAATGTCGTGGAATCGGGAAGAAGTTACACTGTTGTTGGGGGAGTACTAAAAAAGGCAAAACCTGTACAAGGTGAAGTCACCCAATTACAAAAACAGAAATTTGCGGCGTCAGGCGCTGGATGCGATAGTCCAAGCATTGAGAAGTTTTATAATAACCAAGATCTCGATATCAAAAATAAATTTAAATTAACGACGTCTGTTGTCTTTCCGATTATATTGGACGTCATACCCGTTAAGGTTATGTCAGTTCAAAAATATTACTCTAATGCGCAGGCGTATCATATGAATTACTCGGAAATTTTGTTTGCTTGTGTCATACAGGTTGTAGAGAAAATCTTCATATTTTTTCCATGCAAATTTTCGGCTTTATTATGAC